TTCCCTAGCGAGTAGAACAAGCAAACTTGTGAAAGTCAACTTGACAAACAACACAATTAATAATCATAAAATTCAATTAGCTTCACGTTTTTATGAATATATGATTTCAATTGTTGCAATACAGGGTGTTTCAGTTTATTGTTGCATAACTTTAAGATTCGATAGAACTTTTAAAATTAATGCATGCAAGTCTATATAAACATGGGTCGAAAAATGCGTGGCTTCCGAAATACAGGGTGTTTAAATTTACTTTCCAAAATAGTTTTTTTTAAATATTTCGAACAATATTTAATGTATAACAGTGAAAATTGGTATACAAGGGTTTTTTGGTACGACAAAACGAACCATGTGCATAGTTTTACTCTAGCCGCTAGAGGGAGGGCGCTCTCTACTGTACCTGTAGTGTATTAAAATGACCGAAAATTTTTTCTTAGTGCAATTTTTTGCTTTTTGAATAAAAAAACTGATTCTTTGCACTTTTCAACATAAAAAATCTCTCCTGTGAGTTTTCGTTATAGTTAGCCGTTTTTGAGATATTTCGATTTTTAAGGTTCGATGCATTTTTAATTATTTATGGGAAAATAATATTTTTTTTACATTTCCGATTTGGGCATTAAAAGTAATTAAGATGCTCGTTTAGATTCTGTTTTTAAACACAGCAATAATTCCTAACTCCAAATAAACACAAAAAAAACAAAATATTAATTTGTTTAATTTTACAATATTATTTTTAACAAATTAAATTAATTATTTACAACTAAAATGCTATTGGATAGTTAGGACAAACATACAAAATCTAAAGTAGTTGCTCGAAATGTAAACCCAATTGTTCAATACACAATTCACATCTACGAATGATCGAACGTGGTATAGCATTATTCAAATAAGGCCTTATTTCATCACATGCATTCCTGATTATGTCTATTAGTATATCTCTTGTGGTTACGGGAGTCTGGTACACTTTTTCTTTTAGAAATCCCCACACAAAGAAATCTGATGGATTTAGGTCAGGGGATCGTGGAGGCCAGGCGACTGGTCCTCCACGGCCGATCCATCTTTCTGGATAATTTTCTAACTATTCTCGAATAATGAGCTGGACAACCATCAAGCTGGAAACAGGCCAATCTTCTTAAATCTAACATAACATCATCCCACATATTTGCATGTTCAGCCTTTAAAAATTCCAAGAAGGTCGCAGCATTTAACCTTGCAGGCAAAAGGTAGGGTCCAAATAGTCGATTACGGTAGATACCAATCCACACGTTCACACTAAATTCATGCTGAAAATTTCTTTCCCGAACTGCATGCGGATTCTCATGCGACCAAATGTGTTGATTATGAAAATTCACCACTCCACGTATAGTGAAGCATGACTCATCGGTACATAAAACGTTACTTGAAAACTCCCTATTATTATCAGTTCTATCAAGAATCCACTGACAAAATGTGATTCTTCGTTCTCCGTCCTCTGCCTGTAGTCCTTGCACAGGTTGCAAATGGTAAGGACGTCTATGGTCATTTCTAAGAACACGGTGAACATGGCTTGCTGAAATTCCCAAGGCACCAGAAACTCTCCTAACACTTGTGGTCGGATCTCTATCAAACTCACGCAGAATCATACGGGTAAATCTGCGCTGACGAACATTTATGTTTTGATCCCTTTGGAGATTTCCAAAACCATTTTCAATTATTTGGCGATACACTCTTACAAATACTGAGCGAGGTGGATGTCGTCTGTTTGGAAATCTTCGTGCGTATTCTCTGGCTGCTTCTGCTGCGTTTCCATTTACAAAGCCGTTCACAAAATGAATATCCGCTAACTCTTGATTGGAGAATAAAAATGGCATTTTTATAGAACTTACAAAAAAAAAACAGGTAAAAGAAACTAAATTTCGTGCATTCACAATTGCAAAAAAACGTTTCAGGTTTCAACAGACAACAAAACTAACCTGTCAACTAATTGACGTTTAACCTTATTCTGCTTTCAATTTCTAAACTTCTAAAAATTATCGAGATACTGACTTTTTAACGTTATTTTATCATAAATAATTAAAAATGTATCGACCCTTAAAAATCGAAATATCTCAAAAACGGCTAACTATAACGAAAATTCACAAGAGAGCTTTTTTATGTTGAAAAGTGCGAAGAATCAGTTTTTGTATTCAAAAAGCAAAAAATTGCACTAAGAAAAAATTTTCGGTCATTTTAATACACTACAGGTACAGTAGAGTGCGCCCTCTAGCGGCTACAGTAAAACTATGGTTCGTTTTGTCGTACCAAAAAACCCTTGTATACCAATTTTCACTGTTATATATCAAATATTGTTCGAAATATTTAAAAAAAAACTATTTTAGAAAGTAAATTTAAACATCCGGTATTTCGGAAGCCACGCATTTTTCGACCCATGTTTATATAGACTTTATGCATTAATTTTAAAAGTTCTATGGAATCTCAAAGTTATACAACAATAAACTGAAACACCTTGTATATTCATGTTTTTCTTGTTACGCGCTGGTACAACTGATATTGTTCCTAACTCTTACGGAAAGTGTCCTTTTCGCACCCGACTGCTGGCCAAACTCCGCACCGCGTCATTATAATATGTAGCCTCTTTTATATTTCCAATTGTTTTATACTGAACTCCCCGCGTAAGCTGACGCCTAAATATTAGGGCATCGCGGCTCACAGAAGCAGCTTGGAGAAACTTTGTTAATCCGATTTTTGAACTGCCTAAGCCTGATAGAACTGGGAAAAACCTCCTCAGGTAGATTGTTTAACAATCCCGATACTCTGGGGACATAGGAGTGGCCGTATCGGCCAGTTCTGGAGGAGACCGTTTGTTAGAGAGATAATATCGATCAGTCAGACAGCGCTCCTCTGATCAGCATCGAGCATGGATAATAATCCCAAACATGTGAGCAGTATTCGAGGCTAGGCCTTGTACTAATGAGGAGGTTATGTGGAGGAAAGTACTTCTTAGCTCTAAGCAAATAGAATATCTTCTAACTGCAGCTGCTGCCATTGACGAGATGTATTTATGCGAAATTGAGATGTGCTGGCTGTTATCAGGCGTTAGTCATGAAAAAATGTCCCAAAAATCTATTTTGAAAATGACGCCCTTCTTATGGGTTTCAGATCCCCTGACTGCTGAGCGCCGCGAAACCCAAATGTCAAGTTTCATACACCAACAACTACAAAAGCGTAAATAAAGGGGAAATTTGTGCAATGGAAATTAATACAGGGGTGGTTGTTTTGAAATGGCACGATAAACGTGATATTCTCTGTATAAGCACTATACATACTGCCACAAGTACTAAATATAAACAAAGAGGAACAGACATAGAAAAACCATCTCTTGTTGTTGACTACAACTCGTGTAAGTCATTCATAGATCTACCAGTTTAGTTGAAATCATATTATTCGCCTGTGCATAAAGGCGTTAAGTGGTATAGCAAACTTGCCTTTGAAATATTACTTGGCTCAGCTGTACTAAACGCTTCCATATTAAACAAAACTGTGACAAAGGCGAAAATGTTAGTTACAGATTTTAGACATAAAGTTGCTCTTGGTATGTTACAAATCAATGAAGTGGAAGTCAGGAAGGTGCTGGAAAATGAAAACAGAAAGCATGTTTTACAACAAGTTTCTTCAAAAAAACAGACAAATACATGTAGCAAGTTATGGTAAAATAAGTACAAAAGAAGGCAGAAGAACTGACCTAAATCACAATTTTATTGTAATACAGGGTGCGGCAGAGAGGACGGACGTTTTTGGGATGGATAGTACTCTTCGCCTCCGTCTACGAGAGAGGTGGGGAGGGTGCCGTTTGACTCGTGAGATCCTAGCATTATTTTACCAGTTGTCGTTATGGAGCCTTGGACGGTGGAGCACCGCGTTTTCGCCTAAGAGTGACGAAGCCCACTTTCACCTCAACAGCATGGTTAACAAGCAGAATTGTCGTTATTGGGCTAATGAAAATCCGCAACAGTTACACGAAAGACCGCTGCACAGCCCAAACGTAACGGTTTGGTGCGCTGTATCGCAAACTCGCATCATTGGTCCTTACTTCTTCGAAGACGGTAATGGTCACTATTTGTTCAATTTCATTGAAATAGAAATGTCATTTTATAAATTCATATCATTTTCAGAAAAGTTCTTCAGAGATAAAAAAATACATGAAAACTGCCGAGCTCGTTCACTAATATTACGCTCCAGGCCCCTCTGTACAAACTTCCATATAAGTGCATGTGTTCTGGAACATGGTAGTTGCGTTACAGGCTTTAATCTACACGCTATTAATGAAGGTCGACTCACATGTGTTGGAGCCAAATCGACAACGGGATCTGAAACCCAACTGCCATGGCGATTCACGTGTTAACATGTTGCCTACTCGGCTGCTCGGGTATAAATAGGAAAAGTCTTCGGTGATCTGGTCAGTTCCGAGCTAGCAGCCGTCGCGATTGTACACTTGTGCGACTGCGACCCACCCGGACTTATAGTGCGATCTTATTGTGATTTTCATCACGATACGATTGCTATCCACGATGGCGAGAATCGAAAAGCTAACGAGCCAGCTGAAGCAGAAGGAAGATAATTTCGCCATGCTTGCAGAGGCGAGGCTGGAGATAGAGGAAGTGAAGGGGAAGCTCCTCAAGGCGAAGAGGAAGGTGAAGAAGGCAGTAGAAGAAGAAGAAGGTGAGGACCAGGGAGACGAGGACCAGCAGCCTACGGGAAACAGGGACATGGATGCCCAAGAAATGGAAGAAGAAGCCAAGAAGAGGACCGATGACGCAGACTTCAGTGTCGTCACCAGGCGGAGAAAACGAGTGAGAGTTTCCTTCTCCGAAGAAGAAGAAGAATCGTCCAGGCAGTCAAAGATGCCAGCTGCCACCAAGAAGAGAGGTCCTAGAGCAACTAGGACCACCGAGGCCCCCATGGCAGGAACAGGAGTTCCTCCAATCAACATCGAGGGCACCGCTGATTGATCATCCTTAAGCAGGATGATCAACAATAAGGGAATTCAATTCTCCAAGGCGAGGACTGCAGGGAACAGTGTGAAGGTACTCACCAACACACCGGCTGACTACCGACAGCTAGTAACCCTGCTAGACGCAATGAAGAGGTCCTTCTTCATCTACCAACTGAAGGAGAACAGGATAGAACAGAGGGTAGTACGAGGACTGCCCAGGGAGATGTCGACTGACGACATCACGGAAGATTTAGTGAACCAGGGTGTGTCAGACGCCGAGGTTCAACAGATGAACAACAAAGAAGCCACTTCCGCTCTTCCTCGTCAAGACGAAGATGCCAGAAAAGCTTCTAGAGATCCAGAGGCTGGCCATGCTCACGGTCAGCTTCGAGAGAAAGAAGAAATCCACCGAGCCCAGCCAATGCTACCGCTGCGAGCGGTACGGACACACGCAGCGAAACTGCCGTCTCGCTGAACGGTGCGTAAAGTGTGGTGAGGACCACAGCAGCACCAGCTGCAGTCTGCCGACGCCACCAACAGGGCAACGAAATGCCAAATGCTGCCTTTGCGGAGAAGGACACCCAGCAAACTACAAAGGATGTAGTAAGGCCCCGAGGAAAGCTGCTGCTGCCCTCAAAGCAGTCTCCACCTCAAATAGGACCTCTTACGCTGAAAAAGCGAAGAAAACCATGTCCACTTCTGCGCCAGCAGCCGCCACTGCTACTGGAACTACTGTGCAGAAGCAACACGGCGATGACAGACTGCTAGCTATGATGCAAGCCATCATAAGCCGCCTGGATGCACTCGAGATCAAGATGCAAGACAAGCATTAGAACAGTAATGACTACAGGGCAAAACGTGGAACCTCTACGCATTATCTCCTGGAACATCAATGGATTCAGGGCACGGAAACCAGAAATCCAGGAGATACTAGACCAGTACCAACCAGAGGTGATGGCCATCCAAGAAACGAAATTGGATGCTGCCCATAGTCTGACGTTCCCGCGGTACGAGACGTACCGCTACGCCAGAAGAGGCAGAGGTGGAGGACTCGCATTACTCGTCAAACGTACCTTGACGAGTCATGTCCTCGACGACGCCGCAGACATCAATGGGGACGGAATCACGGTCCAGGTCCATCACAACCACCGTCCCTACAGAATCACCTCCCTATATGTGCCACCAGGGGAGGCCCTAGACGAAGATGACATCGCTGACCTCCTGAGAGGCCCAGGAGCACGCATAGTCATCGGAGATCTAAACTGCAAGTCTCCGGCATGGAACAACAACGTCGAAGACAGGAATGCAAGGCAGCTCCAAGAACACGTCGATGCCCTGGCGGGGGTCATCGTCGGTCCGGAGCAACCAACCTACATTCCATTCGGCCTTGGGCGACCTGCGGTACTGGACATAGCCATCCTCCGCAACATCAGAGAGGAGTTCGAGATAGAGACCCTGGTGGAAGGATCGTCGGACCACAATCCGATCCTACTAACACTTAGCACAGGGTCTACAACTCGAGATAGCTTGAGCACCAAACGCACGAACTGGAACCACTACAAATCCAACGTCCAAAGGAATATCACTCAAATTCCAACCATCCGATCAGCGGAGGAACTGGACAACGCAGTAGAGGAGCTGGAGAATGCTGTCCTGCGAGCGTACGAGGACAGCACCCGCTCCGAGACTACGGCAGTTCCTAGACACCTAAATGGTCCAGCACCGCACCATATTAGGCACCTGATCAGGGAGAACAGAAGACTCAAGCGAGAACATCTCCAGCTGTTGACAGAGGAGTCGAGAGTTGCGCGAAACAGAGCATCGCTAGCTCTGAAGAACGCACTCGCGGAACTCCAAAACAGCAGATGGAATTCAGCCTGTGCAGAACTAGAGACCCAGGATGGTACGGCCTGGACTATGGAGCGAAAATTTCGTCGTCAGCGCACCACGATCCCCACTCTTCACGGCCAACGCGGCTTGGCCTACTCCAGTGAAGAAAAAGCCGAAGCATTCGAATGCAGACTCAATTACCATGAAGACGAGGACGACAACCACGAGGAGGCCGTGGAAGATCATCCGTAGGAGACTACAGGATGAACTGGACCACATCCAGGACTGGTGCGTGAAATGGAAAATCCGCATCAACGTCCAGAAGACACAGGCAATCTTCATCCAACGAAGAAGGATTGCAAGCAAGACCTCTCGAAGCATCCATCTTCGACGAAGATATCCAGTGGAGCGACAAAGTCAAATATCTGGGGATCGTATTTGACAAGTCCCTCACCTGGAAAGACCACATAGAAGCTGTCATCGTAAAGACCAGAGCAGCCATGGCTCAACTCTACCCATTACTGGGTAGACACAGCCGGATGCCGCTAGCGACCAAGCTACGGCTGATCAAGGCCATCGCCAGACCTCAGCTCGCTTACGCCTCCGCGGTCTGGGGGTACGCTGCTCCCAGCTACCGCAAGCGACTTGCTGCTCTAGAGATGAAGCTACTCCGGATCGCCACCAGTGCACCATCCTACGTAAGAAACTCAACCTTGCGTAGAGACCTGCATTGGGACACCATTCACGAGTACATGAGGAAAAAAGCGGAGAAGATCTTCCAGAAATCTCAGGACCACCCGAACGAGCAGCTACGATTCCTCATGGACTACGATCCGGACGAGAGGCGTCGCAACCGCAGAACCAGGTACCCTAGACCAAGGTCCCAGTTGGCACCCGCTAACTGGAACCTTGACTAGGAGACTAGGAGAACCCTCGGTTGCTCCCTCCCCCCACGGCGTGGATGCAGAGGACCAGGAACCACCGGGACCAGGACCCACCGGGACCAGGACCCACCGGGACCAGGACCCACCGGGACCAGGACCCACCGGGACCAGGACCCACCGGGACCAGGACCAACCAGGACCAGGACCCGCCACGACCAGGACCCACCAGGACCAGGACCCTTCAGGACCAGGACCAGGAAAATATATAGGTAAGAGGACTTGAAACTCTTGATTTTTCGAAAACAAGAGTTTCAAGAGAACCTAGCAGACCCTCTATCGACGATCGCTTAACGACATCGATAGAATGTGCGAGGTAAAGGGAACCAACCCGGCGTTCCCAGAGACTGAAACACATGAGGAGACGTTATAGCAGACCGCAGGTCACGCACAACACATGGCCTACCGAGAGTCGGGCCACGCGTTAGGGTTTAGTGGGTATTAGGTGGTCTCCTCAAGACAACCTGGAGTCCCACACACGCCGTAGCTCGGGCTATGGTATGGTGCATAAACGCATTCCCCCTTCACCAAAAAAAAAAAAAAGATCTGGACTCCGACCAGCCGAAATGAACGGTTCTTTGGTAGAACTCGGGTGTCGATCCAAACCGGATGAGCGCTAGGGCGCTTGTTGTTATTCAAGGTACACAACTGTGTTTTGGAAGCCTCTCTAGTCTAAACAGCCTAAATACCTCGCGCTATTAGCGGTTATCAAACTGCTTCGAACTACGCTGAGTATAAATTATAGAGCAATAATGAGCGCAAACATTCCTATGGGAGGAATAAAAGCTGAGAGGTATGGAGTTACTAATGGTAACGTTAATGCGACCGGCATCTAATCTGCCAGCGCATCAAAATAACATCCCGTTATTTCGTTAGAATATTCCGGGGGTAATTATTTTACGCCTAAGGGATATATTTTGTTGATGTGCGATAAACTGATCCATTTCGGAGCGGTTACCGTCAGCTACGAGTAATTATTCGTTGTAGTAAACAGAATACATTCAGAATGGGGGCGGCTTCCATTTAGGTTGATGGGACGATCTACTCGTACAGCGTGGTTCCTAAATATAATTCAGAAATTCGTGTTGTGATGATAGATTGTAGCAAAATAGCCTCGCTTTGGATAAGGCGAACAAGATTTTGTAAAAGAACATTTTCGTTAGCAAAAATTACCCGTAGATCTTCTTAATAAAAAAAAAACTGTTTAAAACACCTATTTCCAGCTGGAATACAAGGTTCAAGATTTACATTCAGGACTTATAATTTTTTCCAAAACTTCATAGTTTCCTGAACTGTATATATCTTGGTACAGGCTGTTTTTTGCGAGATCGGTTGATTGCCCCGTTAATATAATGTATATTCAAATTCATAAATATACTAAATATGCCATTCTCCACAAGGCACAATTATGAGGCAACGCAAACATACATTTTTCTAATGAATGGTCTTTATATTAAATTTTGACAATAGAAATTATAACGCCGACAAGTAAATGCATTAATATCAGAGAAAAAGAATTTTTTGCGTTGTAGGTTCATATACAGGGTGGCGCATCGAAATCTAAACAGACGCATTTACGAGGGGGACACAAGTTTGGCAAAAAATCACGTTAGCTCGTGCAGCCCCCTATGCGGGGGTGACACCACCCCCAAACTCTTAAATGGAAAGGGGGGTCGAGTGATACCTTATTTTAAAGGTCTTTCAATTCCCTTTATAATGATATAAAATTAATGTACTTCAGTTCAGTCATTTTGAAGATTTATTATATATAAAACTAATACTTCATCATTAGTCGAGATCAATATATTTGGCAGCAAAGTAATTTAAAAATGAAGAATGAACTGACCCGTTAGGCAAGTAAATGTTGAAAATGGCCACCATGAATCTCCATGAATTAATAAAGACTTTGCTCAAAACGTTGCCGTACATTTTGCAAGATTTGAGGAGTAATTTGAAGGCACTCATTCACAATTCTTTGTCGCAGGTCTTCTAATGATGTTGGCTGAGTAGCATAGATTTTGCTTTTTAAATGACCCCACATAGAGAAATCCAAAGGTGATAATTCTGGCGATCTTGGGGGCCATTCAATGGCACCTCTTCTACCAATCCATCGATCTGAAAACGTCTAATCTAAATATTGTCGAACACGTAATGCGTAATATGGTGGGGCACCATCCTGTTGGAACATCAACCTATTCGCAATGTACCGCCGATCATTCTGATTTTCAATTATGGCTGTTAATACAGGATCTATGGCGTCTTCCAGTAATTCCAAATACATTTCACCGGTCAAATTTCCAGGTAAGAAAAAAGGACCAACTAAATCATCGCCAAAAACACCAGCAAAAACATTTAATTTTTGTGGCTGCTGTGTATGAACCTCATGATAAATTCTGGGATTAGAATCGGTCCAATATCGGCAGTTATGACGATTTACCACGCCATTTAAGAAAAAGGAACAGTCGTCGGAAAAGCAAGTGTTGAATAGCAAATGTTCATCGTTTATAATTCGTTCATTCATATCTTCACAAAATTGTAATCGCCGATCAAAATCGTCTTCATTATGTTCTTGTACCAGATGAATTTTATACGGATGAAACCTATGGGCTTTTAGAATCCGTTGGACAGTACGTCGTCTAACACCACACACAGTCTCTAATTTGCGGGTACTTAACGTAGGATCTACATAAACTTGCCCTAAAAC